CAGCACTCGGTGGTGCGTAACGCTCTGTTCTGCCTGGAAACAGCAGCAAATGAGAAGGAAAACCACGTGTACACCAAGGCTCTGATGGCGTACGCCTTCGCCCTGGCTGGGAAGGAGGAGAAGCGGAAGGCGTTGCTCGACTCCCTTGAAAAGGAAGCCGTGAAAAAGGGTGAGTGCTCTTGGTGGGACATCCATGTCATCTTCCCTTGACAAAACGGATTCTGTAGGTGGGGCGACGGCTGCAGGAAATGGCTTCTGAGGGCGGGGAGAGGTGGAGGCAGAAGAAAGACTTGTGCAAAGGGGTTGTGTTTTTGAGAACTCCCAGGGAGTTCACCAGGAAGCACCAGGCACCTTCCCCATCGGCGCTGACTGAAGGGCAGCTCTGCGGGCGTCTCTCCTCAGTCCGCTCCTCTTGCCACCCCAGACACTGCTTAGCACAGGCTTAGCGATGGTCATGGCTGCTCCTGCCCTCCAGCGCACGTGCTCACCATGGAACAGAGCTGAGCTTGGGGTGATAAATCAGAGAAGAGCTGCACGTGCTGAGAGAGAAATCCAACACACAGCTCATTTCAGGGGCTGTAGCGTAAGCTCTGAGTCTTCCAGAAAATCAGGTGATGACTTGGAAGCATTCTGGGAAAGTCAGGACGACAGTGGGTTTGCCCAAGCGTTGGGCAGCGGGGTTGTGAAGGAAGTATCTCCAGCACCTTTTGCCTTTCCTGCCTGCAGGTGACTATCAAGCCCTGGTCACATTCTTTGGGTCATTTTGTCTCACAGAGCTTCTCACTGCCCAACCCCACCATCTCTACTCAGCGAGGGAAGGAGTGTCATCCTGCTTAGGTCCCTGCTTCCTCGAGGTGCCCAAGCCCATAAATGCCTGTGTGCATCTGGAGTCTGGGACAAAGTGGTGTCCAGGCCTGAGGACTCGGCCTCAGCAGCCTCAGACTCAGCTGTAAAGCTGCAGCAAGTGTAAACCTGATGCTTCCCTCTTCATCCTGCACAATAGATGCATCCCAGAGCCTCTGTCCTCCCAGCTGGACCGGCAGCAGGTCAAGAGCTCCCTTGAAATAACTCCTCCTAATTGCTTGTTGTCTTGTCCCCACGCTCCCGGCCTCCTGAGCAGATGGGTCTGTGCATTGGCAGCGGCCTGGGAAAGAGCCAGAGGTTGATCTCCCGTACTATCGCTACCGAGCTCCCTCTGCTGAAGTGGAGATGACAGCCTACGTGCTCCTTGCTCACCTCACCACACAGCCAGCACCTTCCCACGAGGAGCTGTCGTTCGCCTCTCTGATTGCAAAGTGGATCAGCGGCCAGCAGAATCCCAGTGGAGGCTTCTCCTCCACCCAGGTGAGCTGCTGCCCTCCTGCCACCTCACACATCAATGTCACAAGATGCCACAGACCCAGGTGGGAGCACAGCGAGGTTCACCACGGCAGGGACTGTGCCCCTGCAGTGTATCCCTGCAGCACCTACCACGGCTGCCAAGCTCCCAGGAGGCTGGAGGCTGGTAGCTCAGGCAGTGCCTCTGGGAATGACAGACACTTGGATTAATGACCTGGTTTCTGGGCACAGTGGGGCAGAATGGCAGGGACACAAGGGACATGTGTCTGTGCCATGGGACAGGGCTCCCACCACAATTTCCTTGTGCAGCTGAAGTTGCCGCTTCACCCTGCGGCCAGCGAGTGAAGGCTGCGCAGAGCTCCATGCCCAGGAGCTCAGGGAATGTGGGACTGCTCTGCAGAGGACATGGGGAGGGAATGGAGACACGCAAGAGCTGCTCCTTCCCTCTCTCCTTGGCACTTTAAACCTGGAGAGAGTGATGGATGGAGGGGAGGGAGCCTGCCACCAGCACAGGGCAGGCTGTGGGAGCACAGGCTGTGGAAAGGCTGACTCTGTCTCCCTGGCTGCTGGCACCCTTCTCTTGCAGGACACAGTGGTGGCTCTCCAAGCCCTGTCCCTCTATGGAGCTGCCACCTATGCCAAGAGCGGAGCAGCTTCCAAAGTGACCCTGCGATCTGGAGAGGACTTCCAGCAAGACTTCCAAGTGGATCCCACAAACCGGCTGCTGCTCCAGCGTGTGCCCCTGCCCCGGGTGCCAGGGGAGTACAGCACGGAGGTGTCTGGAGAAGGATGTGTCTACCTGCAGGTGAGGGTGATGCGGGCGGGTGACATCCCGGGAGGGAGCCCCTTGCCAGGCAGGAGCCAGGGTGAGGGCAGAAGGGACAGGGAAGAGGGGAGCAGTGGGAGGGAAGGCTCTGGGGGAGGGAAGGGGAGACAAGTAGAGGTGAGTGGAGGAGAAAAACTGTGAGGGAAGGAGGGAAGGGACTGCAATGTGGAGGAGCTGTGAGAATGGGAGCAGTGGGGAGGCTGGACAGGGAAAGGATGGTCTCCCTCACGTGCTGAGCACAAACACATGGTCACACCGAGATGCTGGCTGTCCCCTAGACAAGCTTGAGGTACAACGTGCAGCCCACGCAGGAGGATGCGCCCTTCACGCTCCACGTGTACACGATCCCAGAGACATGCGAGGACTCCAAGGCTCACAAGGTCTTTGACATCGGCATAAACGTCAGGTGAGTCTGCAGTTGGGTCTGAGCCTTCCTGAGAAGCCGTGGGAGCTGGAGGAGCTCTGGTGGTCCAGGGTGAGCCAGTGTGGAAGCCCTGGAGGGGCAGCGCATCCCTGGAGAAGTGGGCAGGAAGCAGCTGGGCTGGGAGGAGAGGCTGGGGAGGAAGGACATACCCTGCAGTGGTGGAGATGTGTGGAGAGCCCCGGGCTGGGCTAGTGAGAGGCTGCATAGGGTGACCCTGGCATAACTGGAGAAGAAGGTGCTGGACTGCCAGGATGGTGGTGGGGTGCCAAGTGTTATGGAAGTGTTGGAAGTGCCCCCAGGG